AATTGTTTTTTCAACCTTTTTAATTAAAAGAATAATTCATGGATCTTGAGGCTTGTTTGTTTGAGTGTTTAAGCAACTTGTTAGAGATCCAAATAAAATGTAGTGAATTTAAATGTGGTTTCTTTAGTGGACTGTTGGACCTTGACGGAGGTATTTGCTCTACTTTGCCATTCTAATGTTTTCTGTAATTCCATAGCAACGATTTTGTTTTCTTCTTTTCATCAAAAAAACTCGACACGTGTACATGATGCAACCGTCACACCACAGCTGGTTCCTCATATCGAGCACATAACTGGAATAGATTCGGAAGGAAGTGTAAAATAAGCATTTTAATTCAAAAAACGTCTCCTTAAATTCAACAAGCTGCACCAAATTTCACACACTCGTAGATCGGTCTCTTAAATGCGTCCCAAATTGTTGTTGGGAAAAAAAACAAAAGCATGATCCGCCCCTGATCTGGACGCTTGTCAAAATTGAAATGGCTCTTTCTTTTCTCAACCTTTCACCAAGTTTTGTGGAAGTCTGTTCGATTTTGCGTAATCCTGCTGACAAACAAACCCACACGTGGACTGAGGTGAGAGCAGAACTTCCTTGTCCAGGACGTTTTAGTGTTTGGTGGATGAAGCAGTGGCTGAAATGTCTCCCTGATTGGTGAATTAAAACAACCAAACCATAGGGTACAGTTGCCAGCGCATCACATGCGGTCGTTGTGTGGTGCTGTTGTGTCCTCAAGTAAACTTACAAAAGACGTATCGTTCCAGTAAATCGTGGCTGTGGTTAGAAATCACAGCGACCGTCTGAGTGATGGAATTATAGAAATATAAAGACGTTTGTTTACTGGAAAATCTGCTTCGTGCTGGCAGAGGAACAGGACTCTCTAACTGTGGGAACCTTTGACCTGTTGTTTCGTCTGTCTACACTTTCTGTGTGTGTGTGTGTGTGTGTGTGTGTGTAAATGAATGATCTTTTTCCTTCAGGTTCTCGTGAATGACTTCTTTCTGGTCGCCTGCCTTGAGGACTTCATTGAGAACGCCCGCCTCTTCATCTTCGAGACCTTCTGTCGGATTCATCAGTGCATCAGCATCAGGTAGACGTCTCGGAAATAGACTTGCGTGTCAGAACCGCTGTGTGCCGGGCCTTTTTATTTGTGAATGGACTGATGAGAGAGAGAGAGTGAGAGAGAAGGAATCGAAAGATGTTTTAACTTGTTTACTCAGACGATTGATTTTGTGCTTTGATTTTACTTCTCCGTGCTTTTACTCATGTCCTCTTAGAGCTTTTCAAATGTAGTCGTCATCGTCTTTAAATTCTCTCAAAGAAAATGTTCTGAACTGAAACGCCCCGCTCCTCCGTTCCTCTCAGCATGCTGGCAGACAAGCTCAACATGACGCCCGAGGAGGCGGAGAGGTGGATCGTCGACCTCATCCGTAACGCCAGACTTGATGCCAAGATCGACTCCAAGCTGGTGAGGCTCTGCATTCACCGATCCAAGTCAGACGAGCTTCAAGTCACTGATCCCAACACAAACAAATCTCACTAGACGACTGGTTTTTGTGTTACAGCTTTGTCACTTTTATTCACTTCGTTCTTGTTAGACTCAGAAAAGCAAATAAGACCTGTCGGGATTAACCAGGCAGTAAAATACTTCAACGTCAGTCTTTCAGATTAATAATTTAAATGTTAATTTAATGTTTCCCAGGGTCATGTGGTGATGGGCAACAACGCGGTGTCGCCGTACCAGCAGGTGATCGAGAAGACAAAGAGTCTGTCGTTCCGTAGCCAGATGTTGGCGATGAACATTGAGAAGCGGGCGGCTCACAACAACAGGAACGAGGTAAAGTGAGAACCAAACGCAGCACATGGAAGTGAACACTTCTCACTGTGTTTACTGTTGAGGCACAGAGGATCGTTCAATATTGAATGTATGTTTGTTTGTTTTTGAGTTGACAACTCAAGGTTTCATTGTAAACACGTAGTCGGGTCACACGTCCATCAGCCGTCTGATGACGACCAGTTCAACGCTTGATTTATTTTCATTTCAGTCATTTTTCAGGCGTCAGTTCATTCTGTTTTTAATTATACTTTATTTTCCATGTTTTCCAGCAGCGCTTCTAAACTTTTCTGTTTTAGTGGCTTGACAGCAGGCGTAACCGTAGCAACAGTGATGTGTTTTAAAAGCAAGCTTTGTCATGTGGATGTAGCTCGAGATTAAACTCCTCATCTCCCCCTGTAGCAGATCGCAACTGTCACCGATGAATTTCAGTTCATAAATTTACTATTGGTAAAAAAAGGGATCTTGAATTTAATTTGCGGAGCTGAAAAATGTGTAGTTACTCTTTTATTTCGTCCGTTTTCAGTCGGAGGACGTTTATTTTAAGTAACACATCTCTGTTCATCTTCTTTATAAAGTAGTTTGAACTTTTCTTCTGACGCTTCTTCTGATGTCTGTTCCTCAGACACCAAACTGGGCCGCGCAAGACTCGGGCTTCTACTGAAATGGAAATCAGCGTCAGGAGGATGCAGATGCTTTCAGTATGTTACTGAGGCTTTTTATTGCATTTAAGAGTTTATTTGTTACTATAGATTATTTATTATAGTTTATTTTGACTTATCCACTTGTTATTTATATTATCATTTAACTGCCAGTTTAACTTATGCAGTAAAAAGCACTGGAGAGGAGGCAGCTAGGTTTCATTGTTAACTAATTGTCATTCATGATGCTTCATTCACATATGGAGATGTTTACATTGTCACTCTCTTCAGAATCTATTGGAAATCCGTAAAATGTTTTTGAGACTCTTCGGAAGCAACAATAAATTATCATTAAACACGAATTTGCTCCTAAAGAGAAACTGATTTGACTGTTCTTCCTTTACTTCACCACTAGATGGCGTAGTTGGCTCATTTTTATTTATATATATATATATATTTTTTTTTTTTTTTGGGGGGGGCAGACAGTCTGAGCTTTCTTCTTTGACTTTGATGTTTAGAATCTCCAGAAAACCTGCAGAGACACAGAGAAAACACAAAACTCCACACAGACAGGATTCAGAAATTCAGTGTCTGAAAATCGTGCTGGGATGATTTTTCTTTCATCGAGGTCCATGAATTATTACGAAAGTGAAAATACAATTCTGGATCCACACCATCATTTAACGGGTCCCTGCCTGACCCAAACCACATCCTACCACCAGGTTCCATCGACGTCCGCTCAGTTGTTTTTGTGCAATTCTGCCGACAAAGAAACGCACAGGGGTGAAAACATAACCTCTCTTGACAGACGGACATAAAACTGATTTATACATGAAATGAAAAACACTTTTGAAAGTAGACACTGACGTTGACTGTCCTCCGTCCTTGATCTGATAATTGAAAGAAAAGAATTGGATCAAAACTCACAAGACACACATTTTTAATCAGTCACACTTGGATAATTTTTTTTCTGTCTTTTTTTTACTGTAGCTCTGTTTGTTGAAAATGTTTTTTTTCCTGCTTGCACAGTTAATGTTCAACTACACTTCTGCAAATTCAGCGACGCTGCAGCGACGACTGCATTTCTGCAAATATTTAACTTGTGACAGCAGCGAGCAGGATGCGCACCTACAAACCGGTTCTGGGTCAATTGAAGCTAAGTAGAATCTCAGTGTTGTCGTCTTGTGTGTAATTTGGACCTGAAGGTGTAGCTGGAGTTTTTGTTTTTAGACAGTTTAATCCTTTAATGATGACAGTGAAGGAATGACAGGCATGAGCACACCTTTACAATGCAGCTGTGTTGAGAGACGTCTGAACGTCTGTTTCTGCCGTTACACAAAATTACAGCCGGCGGGTGTTTGAGTGAAGACGGGGGGGGAATGTGCCCCAGGTGCATTTCTGAGTTGCCCCTCAACATTTCAGCTCCTCGTTGTGAGGATTCCTCCTGATGTTCAGCCTGGGAGTGGCTGGAGGTTTGTACCAGCCGCTGTAACTCTGAGCCACTCCTCCAGACTGTTTCCTTACACACACACACACACACACATAAACACACACACACATAAACACACACACACTTTTCCAGTAAAATACAACATACACACATGCTTACACACACTCAGAGCTGACGTGGGCTGAGGTCTGAGCAGCGCTGCGTCTGGAACAGCTGGTATCCATCTGTGGTTGCTGTTGCTCTGGCTGCTGCCTCTTCCTGCCGCTGTACGCACCGTGGCTTCTCTCCCCCCCCCCCCCCCCGACAGGACGCAAACCGACCCACTGCGACCCGTTCATGTGCTGCAGTCCCACCGTGGACGTCAGACTGACTAGATACAGCGAGGCTCGAGCAGCGTGCTGAGCAGCCTTCAGCATGGACCTCCTGACAGCTGTCACCAACCCGGCTGTGGCCCGGCTCCTCTGGGTCCTCGCTCTGGTGCTGGCCACCCTCCTGGTCTGGCTCCTCTTCTTCTGCTGCTACAGCTGGAACCAGAGCTCCTCGTCCTCCCTGGAGAAATACCTGGCAGGTAGGTGCCACCCCCCCTGAC